TGTATATATTGTATTGTATATTGTATATATTGTATTGTATATTGTATTGTATATTGTATATATTGTATTGTACATTGTATATATTGTATTGTACATTGTATATATTGTATTGTATATTGTATATATTGTATTGTATATTGTATATATTGTATTGTACATTGTATATATTGTATTGTATATTGTATATATTGTATTGTACATTGTATATATTGTATTGTACATTGTATATATTGTATTGTACATTGTATATATTGTATTGTACATTGTATATATTGTATATATTAAATTTATATATCAAATAAAAATAAATTGAATTACTTGAAGGTCATGTGTATTGTCTGAATGGATCTGTCGCGGGACACGTTGACCCAGATGTTCGATCGAGTTCTCGGCTTCGAGCAGAGGCCTTCGGCCATGCAGCACTCGACGTTGTCTCGTTCTTCTTGCTCCCGAAGCTTCCTCTCCCAACATTCCTCCCATTTTCGTAAACGTTCCTCCTCTTCCGTTTTAAGCTTCTGCTTCTCCGCTTCGAGCTTCGCTCTCGCTTCTCGCTCTCTCTGCTTCCTCTTCCTCTTCCTCGAGCACGGACTAGTGAGTAATCAAATATTCCATAGAACTTTACTTTGGTACACCGACGATTATCGATTTTTTTTTTTTAACCATTCGGTAGCTTTTACGAATTTTACACACAACTTTCGAGCGTTAAAAGTTCGATCTACGAATTCTAGGCGTCGAAAACTACGTCAAAAAAAAACAAAGTCAATAAATTTGGATGCCCCGAAGTAAAGTCCAATCAGATATTCGAGTAATTTAACGTTCGATAATTATTCGAACAGTGACAACGAACTTATTCATAGTTTCGTCTAGAAATTTATACAAGAATTTTTATCCGAGATATCAAGGTGTTTCATTTAAGAATTTCTCCAGAGTCTGATGCGAGTCTTACTCCAACGGTCGAGACTTGATCGCCCCCTTGCCATTTTTCTTCCCAGCTCGTTGCACCATTTTCACGTCATCCGCGTTTCCGTCGTCTATCCTTTCCCAAGGCTGCTGGTTAATTATCACTTCCGGTCGTTTTAATTGCGCGAAAGTCTCCGCTCCCACCGCGGTTGATACACCACCCGCTTTGTTATTCGGATCGAGGATGAGTATCGCTTCCCATTGCACAGCGAAAACGTTTAACAGACGGGTTACCTACGCGTTGAAATATAATTAAAACTCGAATATACACATCGCGCGATCACCCAGAAACAGTTCTAGACATTTTCATTCGGTTCCTGGACTTCTATGGTACTGCATAGTGGTTCGTAAGTTCAGTTTTGTCTGGGGCGAGTCATATTTGCGAAAAGTTTGCCATTAATTTTGATGCGAATCGAGCGATTGGGCGCAGTGAAGTATCCGAGTATCGAAGTAAAAAGTATCGAAATGAATACTAATTCCCGTGTCTGACAAATGTTTTGGAAATTGTTTCACCGACAGGGTATGGCTGCAAGGCAATATGGCGTCGAAAGTGCCAGGTCGGATTATGAAAAAGAAACTCAACAATATTTGGTCACCCAAAGTAAAGTTCGACCATGTAACCAAACGAACACCACGTGTTTAGTTAAATAGTTACAATAATTGAATACATGAATTTTCTGATATAAATCGTAATATTTATTCGTAAGAAATAAAAAGATCGTCCTTTTGTTCGTTCGCTTATTAACGTACTGTAATTAATCCATGGTTTAACGTTTGACGTAGTATTTTCCCAACTCTGAATACGAGATTCGTCGATGTCCCTAGTGATTTAAAAAGAATATCGACACATTCGCGAGACGAGTACAAGTTTCACTTGTAATTTCGAAATTATATACAAAGAATACAGCTTCGGGATTAGTAAAAATTAATAAAAACAATTAATTAATCAAAATCCCATCGTCGATGTTGCAACGAACAACGAACGTTCCATTTACCTCCCATTGTCTCCCTCCTGCGACGATCCAGCAACACGCGCGTCTTCTTCATCGAACTTGTTCCTTTTATCTTTCGCTCGAAGAATGCTTCGCCGCTTGACTTTCTCACGGAAACGTTTACCCCGCTACCTTTTCGTCTCTCCGCAGTTGCAACTGTACTCCTTTACGGGGCATCCGCACTTCTTCATCTTGGTCTCTTCGCTCAGTATCTCGCTGAATGGTTTGTATCCCTTGGACGTCACGGGAGAGGAAGCACCGCAACACGGCGGACAACCGTCGTTCTGCTTTCGTTGGACGGCAGGACAACAAGGATGACACTTTCCGTCGGCGGCGAGTTGCTGACGAGAAGAACCAGATGGCCCAGCCAATTTCACCAGTCGCCCAGGCTTGGGCGTGCAACATGGCGGACAGTTGTCGGACGACGTTGCCTGTTGGTCCCTCCGACGCGATTGTGCCGAGCACGCTGGCCAATTCGAAGATTGGCCAATTCGAGACCCTCTGAAAAATTCACGAAGAGAATCGTGGTTAAACGAAACTGTACTCGATGGAGTCGGAAGATCCTGACCCGAGTATGCTTAGAATCGGTGATATGCAAAAGGCTGCGATCCGTGATGTCCTAGGCTTCGAATGAATCTGAAGTTTGCCGACATGTTTGTCTCGTTTCCTCTTTCGAATATTTTCCAAAAAAGAAAACGATTATTCGAAGTCTAGGGTTTCGGCCATCTCTAGCTGGAGCATAAGAGTTGGCCTCTATTGGACGTGTTTGACCGTCCATATAAAATGCGTTCGCAAAATACCGATCCCGTGGACCCCGAGTTCCAAGCAGTCCCCCTTCGAGACTTCGAATCCAAGGGGGTACGGTCCACTTGAATCCAAAGAAAAGCATTGGAAATTACTCGCACTCGAAGTGTGAAGAGTGAAAAAGGGTACCCAGAGGTGGCCTGAAGGGAAGGACAGCACGGTCGCGGACCCCAATCGGGTTGCGTGGTTCTGACAGGTGGCGGAGGGCACGGGAGAGTCGGCGTGGGGCAACAGGTCCTTCTCGGGGGTTCCCCGCTGCCGTCCGCGCAAGTGTTCGCGCAGGTACACTTCAATGGGGCAGGCGTGTAGCAGGCAGAAGGTATTTTCTTGCACTGGAACACGGGACTCTCGTCCGCTCCCTTGAACAGGTACGGTTTCCTGTTGTGGGGTATCTGGAACTGGGTGACGATCTTCCTGCCGAAACCGGACGCCCTGACGTAGACTGTCGCCGAGCCGACGCACTGGCCGGTCGCCGTGGCGATCTTGAACGTGTCCTTGATCGTTTGACAGGGATTCGGGATCTTGAAGACCTGCTGGCTCAGCACGGCGTTCATCAAGGCTTTGGCCTCTATCTGATGGCAACCGACCATCATCACGTCGGGAAGCACTCCCGGCGGGAGCTTCTTGTACACAGAGAGCTTTATCGGGAACGTGGACACGGGCTTGCGAAGGACTATCGACGGCAACGCGAACAGACAGGACTTGCCCTTCTTGAAGACTTGGGTGTCGCCGTCGTTGCAACCGCAGCCGTCCGTCAGGGCGTCCTGGCAGATGTCGATGGGCGGCAGGCTGAGGATCTGCGGAACGATGCGTCGGGGATTAGCTGACGGAGTTACTTTATTCGTCTATCTCATAGATTGAGTGCTCTCGATAACTTTATATTTGTTAGCCGAACGTTGAGAAACTGGGCCGGAATTCTGCAATGTTATTTCATTTTGCATAAATGCACGCGACTGTCTACCGACGTAGAAAACGCACGAAAAGAGCGTGTGTTCGATATATTCTACAATTGCTGCGAGGTGGAACCACTCCATTGCTGGAGATTCTATAAAATCAATCAAACGGTTGGGTTTTTTTTTTTTTTTAGCGAATGATGTAGATTTCTGAAATAAACATTCCACATGTATACGC